CAGGAGCCTCACAGCCTGTGGATTCAGACTGTTGTCCAGTCTGAATGTTCTGGCCCGTATGGACCTGGACCTTCTCCCTGAGGGCAGCAGGTGGATGAGCAGGGTGATGTTGGTCCCGCAGGATGTTGTGCACTCTTCTCAGACAGCGAGTGGAGTAGATGGTGCTGATTTCTGGCAGAGTCGTTCCAATGATTCTACCGGCTGCTTTCACCACCTGCTGGAGCGCCTGCTGGTCAGCCTGAGTGCAGCTGGAGAACCACACTAAAAAAACATACGTCAGAACGCTGCTGATGGCACAGTTGTAAAAGTTCAACATCAGAGGTCTGGGAATGTGGGCACTCCTCAATTTCCTCAGGTAGTAAAGGCGCTGTTGGGCCTTCCGTACGGCTGAGGTGATGTGATTGCCCCAGGACAGGTCCTCAGTCACGGTTACCCCCAGGAATTTGAAACTGCTCACCCTCTCCACCACCTCGGTGCCAATGAGGAGAGGTAGATGGTTGTTGTGACCTTTTCTGCGGAAATCCACAACAATCTCCTCGGTCTTTTTAGTGTTTAAAACCAAGTTATTGTGGTGGCACCATGACTCTAGGTGTTGCACCTCCCTCCTGTAGTTAACCTCATCGTTGTTGGATATGAGGCCGAGCACTGTGGTGTCATCAGCGAACTTAACGATGAGGTTGGACGCGGAGGAGGAAAGACAGTCATGGGTGAAGAGAGTGTATAGCAGAGGGCTCAGAACACACCCTTGAGGGGCCCCGGTGTTGACAACAAGGGTGGGGGAGGTGTTCTTGCCCACTCTGACACTCTGTGTACGGTTAGTGAGAAAGTCCACAGTCCAGTTGCACAGAGAGGAGTTGAGTCCCAGTTGGTGGAGTTTGGACCGAAGTTTTTATGGCCGGATGGTGTTAAAAGCCGAACTGTAGTCTACAAAGAGGAGCCGAGCATAGGTGTTCTTGTGCTCCAGTAGTATGTGCAGCACCATGGCTATGGCTTCCTCAGTTGACCAGTTCTCTCTGTATGCAAACTGGTATGGATCCAGGAATGGTGGCAAAGCAGCTTTGATGTGTTTTAGGACCAGTCTCTCCAGGCATTTGGTGGGAATGGAAGTGAGTGTCACAGGTCTGTAATTGTTCAGACATGTGACGTTTGACTGTTTTGGGATGGGGACAATGGTTGCTGCTTTGAAACAAGCTGGAACCAGTGAACAGGACAGTGAGGTGTTGTATATAGAGGTGAAGACGTCCGCCAGCTCTGCAGCACAGTCTTTTAGCACCCGGCCCAGTACTCCATCTGGCCCGGCCGCCTTCCTGGTGTTGATGCTGCGGAACACACGTCTCACCTCATGAGTGCTCAGGACTGGAGCAGGGTCAGTCGAGGGGAGAGGGGACAGGACAGGGTCGGTGTTGTTCCTGTCAAAACGGGCATAAAAGAGGTTTAAGTCCTCAGCCAGAGTAGGACTGTCAGCTGCGGGTGCTGGTGATTTCCTCTTGTAGTCCATAATAGCCCTGATGCCCTCCCAAACCTGCCTTGGGTTTGTGGTGTTCTCAAACCTGGCCTCAATACGCTATATACTGTGTTTCTGTAGAATAAGATGCTTTTATAACCATAAAATAGTTATTGAGGAGTGGACTGTTTCAGACGGAGCACTACTGAAGGTCTCGGTGTGAAATGTACACTCCACCACTGTATTTTGATGCAGATTATTAGAACTTTTAAGCCATAGTGTATTTGTAATGCACTTTGAAGCTATTTTATGTTATTTATGTATTCTCTATGTAAAGTGGAACCAGTAACAATTACTTCATTACCACAGTTAAGCTTTTCTATTTGTTTTCTCAATTGTAATGTTGTAATTGTGAATATTTTGAACTCTGTTGTTATACAACTTTTGTTAATTATTGTTTTGAGAAGAATGTAAACCATAGTAAGGGTACTATATTAATAAAGTGCATTATATTAAGATACTTTATTCTGGCCTTATTCTTAGGTCAGGTTTCTTGTTTGGATCAGAATTGAGAACTGCAGACGTGCAGAAAAAAAAGGTTCATCTTTCAATACTGGATGGAGAGCCCAGCCCAAATAGTCGAACAATCTGGTAGCTTGTAGTCCGACTGGCTACAGGCGCATTGAACTTTGAATGAACGTTGAACAGACAGAAATAGACATTGAAAAAGGACTTTGACTTGAAGGACCATCATACTCGGGTACACTTTTATTTTTGATTTTGTTTTTGGGAAAATGAGCGCTCTATTGTTTTTGTTATTATGAAATTATTCTTGAATCCACTCATAATACAATTTAAATACAAGTTATTCTTCACTTTAAGCCAAAGTGTTGTCAGTGTCCTCTGTTGTTACTCCCTCAGGCTCCTTCGCACCTAGAATCTCTCTGAATCTGGCCTATTCCTCGTTTTTTCATATCCAAATACTTCAAAAAGGGTACAGAAAGCACCTTAAGTGCTACATTGTACATTTGGAGAAATGAGTTGAAGCTGTGGGGACTTGGTTCAGTTAAAGACAAATAGTGTGTTAACAATGGAGTGTCATATAAGATGTATAACCACATCATGTTTTTTTTATTCAGATTGGACCGCTGTGGTTTGTCAGAGATGAGCTGTTCCTCTCTGGTCTCAGCTCTGAAGTCCAACCCCTCACATCTCACACAACTGGACTTGGGTCATAACACAGACCTGTGTGATTCAGGAGTGTTTCATCTGTGTGGTTTTCTGCAGAGTCCAGACTGTCGACTGGAGACTCTCAGGTCAGTTCACTGTCTCTTACAGTAGCGTGCACACATAGACACCAGGTGTTGCTAAAGCACCTGCCCCTTTACCCTCTTACCCTTAAAAAGTGGCCTTTTGAAAGTTCTTTTTTTTTTTCTTTTTTTTTTTTTTTTTTTTTACAGTGTACTGTGTTCTATGTTGACATGATCATCTAGAAATGCTGGGCGATTAAAAGCGTGTGATAATAATGGCTTGATATGCGCCCCCTCCGCACACACCTCAGTCTCTAGTTTAATTGAAATATCTTAAAAGCTGTCTGCCTTCTATTTTTAATTACACAAAGTGGTTTGGTGGTACTAAATCTGGCATTAAGACATAATAGCTATTATTTTGTACCAACCATAAGTTATTTCTGTGTTATGAGACTTGCAGTAATCCTCTATTCCAAGGGTGGGCAAACTATGGCCCGGGGGCCATAGGCAGCCCTTTAAACCTTTTAATCCGGCCCACCGAACTTGAATAAATTACAATAATAAACCTTGTTTGTGTTTTATTTTTCCTGCATTTCCGGTGTTTCCCAGTAGATGGCGCACTATATATACACTGAGGTGCGGCGTATTATGTTGGCCGCAATGCTTTATGGGGAAGTAGTTTTGGGCACCGTATGAGGTGAGTGAGTGAGGTAGAAGTGTTCAAGACATAAGGCTGCACTGTTTTCATTTAAAGTGGGTTTTGAGCAATATCAAAATAATATGTCATGTCACATATCCTGATGCGTGGAATGTCTGAAGGGTGTGGTGTTACTGCGTGCATCAGTGCTTACATGTTTTTCCTTGTGGTGTGGGTTCCTGTTTCTCAATGAGGTCCAAGTGTGCAGGATGCACACGCCCCTGAGGTGTGCAGAGAGGAGCAGCCCTTCTACACTTTTCATGCATTCTGAAACTTACATGTCCTAAAATTGTGCGTAGTGAAAAATACATCCTTCATGAGAGTAAATACGAGTGTAGTTGAGCTGGGCTCTTAACACGTCATGTTCTGTCTCCTGTCCGGCCCTTCAGTCAAATTTTAGAACTTTATGTGGTCCCCGAGCCAAAAAGTCTGTCCACCCCTGCTCTATAAGCACCATCTATATTTCTGTGGACGTGAACCACATCATGTTTTCTTTATTCAGATGTGTTCAAGGTTTGAACTAAAGTCATGTTTTGGAGAAATGAGTTGAAGCTGTGGGGACTTGGTGCAGTGAATGACAAATAGTGTGTTAACAATGGAGAAAAAGTGTCATATAAGATGTATAACCACATCATGTTTTCTTTATTCAGATTGTACAGATGTGGTTTGTCAGAGATGAGCTGTTCCTCTCTGGCTGCAGCTCTGAAGTCCAACCCCTCACATCTCACAGAACTCCACCTGGGTGGTAACACAGACCTGTGTGATTCAGGAGTGTTTCATCTGTGTGGTTTTCTGCAGAGTCCAGACTGTCGACTGGAGACTCTCAGGTCAGTTCACTGTCTCTTACTTGTGTCATGTTTCAGAGCTTTCACTAAAGAGCTCGGCCATAATAAGCTCTAGTATTTACTCTGGACTTGGACTCAGAGATGGTAGAGTAGCAGATGATTGTACTCGAGTAAAAGTACTGTTACTTTTATATGACATTAGTCAAGTAGAAGTAAAAAAAGTAGTGTTCCAAAAGTGACTGGAGTAAGAGTGAAGATATTTGAGGAAACTCCTGCTCTTCAGTAAGTGTAACAGAGGAATTGTCTGGATATAAATGTAGATTTAGAATTGGAAGTGAATGTCACATACAAAAGTGCTTCTTCTGCTATTTCCAACACAGACCATAAATATTACAAACACTTCATCATATCTGAAGGGACGGGCCAAGAAACACATCTTTTCAAATCATTTCATATTGTCAACATAAAACTTGAGTCACTTATAAACATGGAACAGTGAGAATCAAAACTTTGAGCTAAGAAAGAGTACTGTTACTTTAATACAAATATTACTCAAGTAGAAGTAAATGTGTGGCTCAATAAGATTATTATGAAACCAAAGAAAATCCTATAAAAGGTAACACAAGTGAATATAAGTGAGAAAAATATACAGGGGAAAAAGTGTTGTAACGTAACAAGGACCATCAATAGATAATGGATCTTGCAACTGAAGCTGCAAATCTGCCACAATCTCAATCATAATTGCTGTGACCTGAAATGTTTTATTGTTTTGGTGAGTTATTTAACATTTTGAGGGGCTGGATGATGCCATCAACCGAAAATAAAACTGTTAATATCTGAAGAACCATAACTGCAAAAATGAAACTTTTTGCAGCACAAGCGATTGACATACTATAGTTTTTGTGTAGGTTTGTGTTTGATGGGGCCAACATCACAGAGGTTTCTTCTCCTCACGTGTGACTCTACAGCAGTGAGCTGGAGTCAGCACGAACACGACTCAAAGAAAGTGCTCGCCAAAGTCACAGACGCTGCTTATACTTATACTTATACTTTAGCTCGTGGTAAAACTCGCCTTTACTTCACGCGGCCTCTCGTCTGCATCTAGTGACGAGACTGATCTGTGTGTAAATCAAACGCCAAATGTAACACAAATGTAACACTGACGGACGAGCCCCAGTGTTCAACAGCAGCGCTGAGAGACCAGGGGACGAGCGCGGGGACAGTCCACATGTGAAGTGTGTCGATTATTTCTGACACAAAACTGATACATGAGAGTATTCAGCCAATGTAAAAGTGTGTGTGCTCAGCTCCTGAAGGACATTGGACTGTTCAAGTCTACACATGAACCTGTGTCCTACAGTCAGGACATGAGACAGACTTTAGGACATGAGACAGACTTTAGGACATGAGACAGACTTTAGGACATGAGACAGACTTTAGGACATGAGACAGACTTTAGGACATGAGACAGTACTTAGGACATGAGACAGTTTTTAGGACATGAGACAGTTTTTAGGACATGAGACATTATAACATTAAACGTGTGTATCTCACAAGTATTCTTATTGTGAGTGGACACGCCTCTCCACAGATCTGACCTGTAACTTGGCTTGTGCCCTGCTGGTCTCCATGGCGATAGAAAAGTTTAATGCCTAAACGTGGAACAGTTCCAACAAAACAATAACGTTTCCATGGAGACGAGAAAGGGAGTGAACCCTGCGTCGTCTTTAAGTCAGAGAAGTGTGACTTGTAAATGATTTGAGTCAAGTAGAAGTGAAAAGGACCGGTCCAAGGAACGACTCCGGGCTCAATGCTGGACAATTGTTCTGGTCCATTTGGACTTCAGTATCAAGATTTACAATCAACTTAAATTCAGAAAGTCTCTATAAACACAATCTACATTTGTATGGACTTTAACACATCATGTTTTCTTTATTCAGTTTGGTGTGGTGTGGTTTGTCAAAGAGGAGCTGTTCCTCTCTGGCCTCAGCTCTGAAGTCCAACCCCTCACATCTCACAGAATTGGAGCTGTATGGTAACGACCTGAGTTCATCAGATGTGAAGGAGCTCGAGGAGCTTAAACAGAGTCGTCACTATCGACTGGAGACACCTGAAGTGAGTAGTGACTTTATGTTTTGAGCCTGGAGCAGTCGCACACATTTCCTTCTGTCCTCAAACTGACTCATGGAGCGGCTCCTTACAGTTTTTTGATTCACTTTGACACACTTCTCTATTGAACACTGACATTTACTAAACAGCTCACACACAACTCCAAACAGAGTTGGAGTTTTCCTAAACTCTAACTATGAGGACGGCATTGATCTGATCAACTCTATTTATGCTGAACAAACAGAAGAGACGTCAGATTAGCAAACACATCACAGTGTTTCTCTAGATTCTGGGGAGACTTTGGTGGCTCTGATCATTTCCATTTGAATCATTTCATCTCATACAATGAGTGGAGTTTAAATGACCTTTACTGTCTATATTTGACCTTCAAGCCGTCCTTTTTGACCTCTATACTTACTTTAAATGTTTAGAATAAGACAAAAGTGTGATGTTGTGATGCCAGTGTAAAGTCCAGGTTGTTTTTAGACTATGGGAGAGAAGTTTAGACTCTGAGGGCCACCGTAGTCTCCTCTATTAAAGTGAAACTGTGCATCAGCACTGCTTCTGCTGCATGTGATGTCTGTGTTGGTAAATGGTCACATTTTTCTATAGTGCTTTTCCACCTTCAAGGCACTCAACAACGAGGAACCACTCACCCATTCACACACACACAAGTGTCTTGCCCAAGGACACAACAACAGCATTCATCTGTGGGAGCTGGATCACACCAGCCAACCTGTGATGTTTATGTTGAGAGTTGGATTCAAACCCTCAACCTTCAGATCAGTGGGCAAATGCTCTACCAACTGAGCTACTGCTGCCCCAGAATCAAACAGGACATTTAGCTACACATTTTAACCATCACTCCTCTATTCAAATTTGACATATTTGACACATAAAAAAAATAACAAATATAAAATAGCTACAACTTAAATGTCAAACTGGAGCTACTGGCAATGGTGAAAACAAACTGCATAGGCTCATGATATCTGCAGTAGTGTCCCATAGTGACCTGACCTATAACTTTGTACACAACTCGCTGCACATCAGCCCGGAGCAGAAGCTCTGAGTTCGGGAAACAGCAGCATCCACAGCACTAAAGACACAGGAGCATCACTGTAGCGCGCAGCCCCTCAGGACGGGGCTGGGGTCTGGTCCTTGGTCTTGTGCCGTCTTCTGTGCGTTGGTCAGAGGCTCTGTCCTTCATGTGCTGGTTGTGAACAGGGATGAGTAAGACCAGTGCACAATGGACAGGGTCTGAGCGGATCCATGTCACCGTCTGCACGCTGCTTCTGTGCGGGGAAAACAAGAATGTGCTGTGGACCACAGGTCCGGGCGGGCTGCTCCTGTCCTCTGTGCTCGAGGACTGTGGCTTGTTCCGAGGTGGAGCAAAGCATCCGGACAGAAACACAAATCCAGTTTGGTTGGTTAAATGTTGTTTTGAGCGTCCGTCCTCCACGCTCTCTGGGTTCTTCCCAGGAAAAGCACTTCTCACGGCGGGGCACCTGACTTCACTCCATGTCATCTGAGCCCAGTCTGAACCGGAGCTGCTCCCGCTGGTTCAGGTGTCTGGTTTGGGTCTAGTCTGACTGTTGTATTTCTCACACTAGGCTAAAAGCAAGACATTTTTTAAGTTGTATCAACTGAATAGGCTATTGCCTATTGCCATAAAATTATTTGGTTAATTAATAGCCTAAAATAACAGATGCTGGTTGCTACATGGACACTGGGAACACCGGGACCTGAAAGTGAAACAGTGTGAACAGGTGAATTCAGGTTAAATTGAATCATTTCTGATCTCTGTTTCTCCACAGGTGGAGTTGGCCTTGACTCTTTGGGCTCAGCTTCCTCTTCACCACAGCGGTCAGATACAGCGACCACATCACTGCCGACGCTGCACCAATCCACCTGTCAATCTCACGCTCCGTCCTCCCCTCACTCGAGAACAAGACCCCAAGATACTTGAACTCCTCCACTTGATGCAGGGACTCTCCACCCACCTGGAGAGGACAAGACACCTTTTTCCGGCTGAGAACCATGGCCTCGGACTTGGAGGAGCTGATCCTCATCCCAGCCGCTTCACACTCGGCTGCAAACCGCCCCAGTGCACATCGCAGTTCCTGGCCTGATGAAGCCATCATTATCTGCAAACAGCAAAGATGAGATCCTGTGGTCCCTAAACTGGACCCCCTCCGGCCCCTGACTGCACCTAGAAATTCTAGTATTTATTGTATTTCTTCATAAAAAGCGGTAAACAGCATTGATTAGACAAGCTGGTAAGACTTTGTTATGACTAAGCAGTGAAATAGTGAAGGTGGTCTTACAAAAAATCTCATAAAAAAAGAACACCTCTAAATTAAGAGATGCAGCTTTAGTCGACACGTGAGGTGAAATGATGAAATATGTTTAAGGAAAAAAAATGTTTAATTTGAGCCTTTTGTTTCCAAGTCAAGTTTAATTCACTTACAAAACACAGAAGGTCCCACCGAGATTTGAACTGAGATCACTGGATTCAGAGTCCGGAGTGTTCACCATTACACCATGAACCTGTGACTTTACACGAGGAGACAGTGACACCTGGTGGACATGGAGAGAAGTACAACTACGGCTCTACGTGCGACTCTTCTTATACTTGTCTGTGTGCAACAGGTGAAGACTACGACATGTTAGAATCGTAGACTGTTTATATGGTTGGAATGAATTATTGTAAGAGTCACTTTGAAACTTTAGACTTTTATTGTCCCCAAAGGCTCGTTTGACAAACACAGCAACAACAAACACAGACACATGACAGTAGACATTACAGTGCACTCAGCGGGGCCTGTCCAACAAACATGTGATGGCCGACGGGAATAAAGAAAACACCTTTATTTACTCAAAATCACGTTTCAAGTGTCAGAAAAATGTCTAGCCTAAACTGTGCCAAACGTTTAGAACTCTACTGTAGATTTCAATGTTTTTGTCACTTGAGGAATTGTTCTGCAGCGACACGTCACCTCCACCAGATGGCGCCACTTCCACGTGAAGCTTCGATCTGACCCTCCTCAGCTTTTACTCTTCAACTATTATTCTTTTCCTGAGCACTTTGTTGTGATGCTGCAACGTAATTTTCATTGTGATTTTATATGACAATAAAGGGAAGTGTATTTACGCAATAATGAGCTCGGTAATTGAAAAAGTTGCAGGTTGAATGCCCATTTATCGGTTAATCATTTGCTCGGTGTTGAAAATAATCAAATATTTAAAACGGCAGCGCAACTTTCTGGAAATTGCACATCACCTGTACAATTCTATATTTTATTTTTATTTTGACTTGTACATTTACATTTATAAAATTATGTCTTATTTGACACTTGTCTCTTGCTCTTTTTGCTACTTATTTAGAATTTATTATTACCATTTATATTTTTTCTCTTAAGATATTGTGATTTGTGAGCTGCTTTGTCCAAATAATTTGATCAATAAAGTTTGTCTAAGTCTTTCGGTAACAGTATTTGTCAATATCGTTGGTCTGTGGAACATAATTCTTCCCTAAACACGAACGCCTCTCGTTTTCTTCTCCTTCCACGAGGAACTGTCGACATCCAGTCTAACAAATATGTCAAAGTAAGAGTTGTACATTGACTTTAGCATTGATTTACTGTGTAAATATACATGCAAATGTAACCAGAATTATGAATACCCTTTTTTCTATTCATTCTCAGTGGTTTATTTGATTATTATTTGAACAATACACAAATTTGAAAGTAAGTTTAAGACTTTTATTTCAAAATATACTCAAAATACCAGAGGGAGATTCCATTTGTCTTGTACATTCTGCTCTGGACATTTACATGAATGTAGGCCTACACGTGTTATTCTACAGCCTATAGATTCATGCTGCTTACAGGTCAGTGGTTCTCATTTCTTTCTTAATTCATACCATGAACCATATGCTCAAATGTTTACATTTACTGGAGTAAAACACTTCACCAGAAAGTTTCCTTTGACCATTTCTAACACAGTGATGCTTCTACATAGTTATGCTTATTTGTGCGTCCAGTGATTCATATGCCTGGACATTACTTGACTAAACTCTTGGTCTTGGATCCTCCAAAGCCTGTCAGATGTCCTCTTACTTCTCCCCCTGCTTGTTTCCATGAAAATGTTGTTCCTTTGACCATAACGCTCCACAGTACGGCATTAAACATATCTCCATGGATTCATACGACAGTCCATCCCCGGAAATTTCCAGCCTGAATCGTCTCCAGAGTGGTTCATTTCAACACAAGTGTGCGTGTTTATTTGCACAGAGGTCATGTTTATTTTATTCATCTAGAGCCTAAAAAAAAGCCAAGAGAAGAACTGTTGATCCAAGTAACGTCTTTACTGCAGTAGTGGTACAAATGATGCAGGACATGTCCACTTCCTGTTCATATTTGAATGCAATTACAGAAAAAAATATGGAGAGCTTTTCTCTTGAGGTCCACTTCAGAGTCCAAGGACGAACATCGACAAAAAAGTCAAAACAACAACTGCTCCATCAGTGTTACTGCCCTTGACTCCGCCCTGACAAGTGCAGTGGGTCCAAACGTGCGCTCCGGTGTCCTGCCTCCCTCCTAGCTCCTCGTCTCCTCTGTCCTTCCACCCTCTCATCTCCTCATCTCCTCTGTCCTTCCCCCGTCCTATCTCCTCGTCTCCTCTGTCCTTCCTCTCTCCGAGCTCCTTGTGTCCTCTCTCCTGACCCCCGTTCTCTCTCAGCTCCTGCCTGCCCCCTGCTGGAGAGGTCAGGTGGGGCAGAGATGGAGAGAGCAGCCCAGTGTCGGGGCAGTCCAGCCAGTCGACGGCGATGGAGCGAGGGTATCCGTCCTCCGGAGCAGAGCCGGGGAATGGGAACTTCCAGTAGGAGTCGCCACTGAACATATACACAGCACCTGAGGATCAGCAAAAAAAGAAACCAGTATTAATTTAAAGTGGGACTAAACACGTAAACTCCGCCCACAACCACATTTCAAATAAAGCCGACAAACTACAAAACATGGAGACTGTGTATTACCTTTAAATCAGTGTAGAAAAGGTTCCAGTGATAGTCATCTGGACACCGTTTCTGAATCAAAAACTGGTGTGAGACACTGAGATTTACACTGCACTGAGGAACTCCTAGTGTGTCAGACTAGTACCATCACAATGAAAACGGCTTCTTCACTTGATTTCAAAAACATACAGGCTACAAAGCTGTGAGCGCACCTCGCATCAGCCGTTTCCCGTCTACTGTAAAATCACTCGCTTTGAGACTCAGACTTTGAGTGTTCAGAGTTCTGCACTTCTAGTTTAGATGCAAGAAAAAAAAAAAAAAACTGCATCACTTCAGATACAGGAGTGAATGCACAGAAGGTTGGGGATAAAGTAGAGAGCGCAGAGCGGGGGTCCTCCACCTCCGCTCGTCCCGACAGTGAGTCCTGGTTCAGTCCTGGTTCAGTCCTGGTTCAGTCTGTGGCGTGTGCGGTGCAATAGTCCGGCATCTCGGTCAGTGTTTCTTCTGTTCAGTAAATAAAGCCTGTGAAGTGATGACAGTCGAGTCGCGTCTGTGAATTTGTACTGAAGAATGTAACTGTTTCATTTCATTTCGTGATTGTAATTCTTGAAGTCGTAACTTTTCAATTCGTATTCTGATGGATGCTTCAGTTAGAATGATTTTAATTTGTGTGTGATTTAACTTTGGGTTTAACTTTGATAGAATCACGGTGCAGTAATGCGCGGGTGCGGGTCTCCAAAAATGGATCCGTGCAGGACTCTGCATCAGGTGGGTCGTAAGAGGTTTTTTTGGGTCGCCATGTCACGATCTGCATGTCGGTCTGTGATATACATTTGTGACACTGATCTCCTCCTGCTCCCGGACTGGAACGAGCTACAAAAACACAGACAGGCCCAACTATCTCACTAGAAATGTTCAAATGTTAAGACATGTTTTGTATCATTTCTAATCTTTTTGTAATTATTTTATTGACTGTTTTGTTCTAATATTGCTGGTTCAATTGACTGTTGAAAAGAAAAAGAAACGGGCTGCATTTAATGTCCAAATATTTGACTTACGGATCCGTTTATTTCTGCTTCAATGACTTAAGTAATACCAATTGTTCAGAGCGACACGATCACTCAGTCAACAATAAAATATCCTCATTAATGTTCAATAATGCTCAAATCCAACTTTATTTTGTGACTGACTTGGGTCGCGAAAGGTTTGTGATTTCTAAAATATGGGTCCTCAGAAAAAAAGTTTGGGAAAAACTGGTCTGACTCCCTCTGAAATCTCTTCTACACTGAAGCGCTCCTGATCCAAAGAGGGACTGCACCGTCTTCTCATCTTGAATTCAGTTATGTATTTTATCGACTGTTCACATGTAGTATTTAGAATGCGTGTCTGTCATCATTGCTTTTACATCATACAACCTGACGCCTGTAGCTCTGCGTCTCTGTAACATTTGATCCTTAGCCCTGTGCTGCTGAGTCCACACTGACCGGCCGCGTCCGTGGTGATCCCGCTGACCCCCTCCTTCAGCAGCCGTGTCCACACATCAGCCTCTGGTCCTGGAGTCGCTGCTCCGGTGTCCCCCCAGATGGGCCCCTCCTCCACGTCCCACATCAGCCCCAGCCTCTCCCCCCCGCTCTCCTCCTCCTCCACCCTTGAGCCCATCCGCAGAGAGGAGAGGGGCGCGGGGTAGTCCTCCTGAAGCCAGAGGTCCCGGAAGAGCCACACCTGTGAACCTACAGCACACAACAAGTCTTAAAGGACCGGGTTTTTGTTTTTTGTATTAGAAAGCATTTCTAATTACATGCACGGAAAAAAAAATATCCATAAATTCAAGTTCACTTGTGTTTTTTAGTGCAATTTTGCATACAAAATGTTCACTGCAAACTCGGGATGATTTCTTAGGCAGCTAAATGTTTCTTTTTTGGTTCTTCCTGTGGATCAATCCTGCCCATCGCCTTCACCTTTCACTATTTTTCAATTCTGTTTGGAAGAGAAACAGTTTGAACAGAGGTTTTCAGTCACACACATCTGATTCCCTTTTGCAGTTATGGAGTTCACAAATAACAGGACATCCAACAACCACACAATTAACGATGTCCGAATCTCAAAACTAAAATATGACAATATCAGAACCAGAAACAAAAGTGATATGGTTCAAAAGACTAGAAAAGATCAACTTTGACAATAGACACATCCCACTGGGAAATCAAACATGGTGGTTTGATGCTCACTTTTTTGGAAAATCCTTCCCAGTATGAATTGCACAATGACCGAAAGTCCGAAATTCGTGCTGCATATATTACGATGCTCTGAATGCTTAAGGAAGGAGAGAAATGTATTACTACTTTATAACACATATGCTGTGTCACTCTGACTTAAACCACTACTTTGTACTTCTACTTGAGTAATACTAGTTTGATGTCACTCTTACTTGAGCACAGTGAGTGTCTCCTCTACACCTCTGCTCTCCTCTGATCTGAGCACTGCTGCTACACCAGAGCAGTCAGTCTATTGTCATGAACGGTGTGGTGTGCAGTGTTACCGCTGATGAAGATGATGGCGTGGTCCGAGGGCCTCTCCAGCACTGCCCTGAGCCTGAGGTCCAGAGGGAGGGACCTCCACAGCCTCCTCACAGCTGCCCCCCGAGAGGACACCAGGCCGGAGGTGCTCACCCGCCACATGCTCAGACCTGCACACAACACAGCCTCTTACATACAGGCTTGGCATATTACAATCTTACGAGGCCCACAGTTACCGTATTTTTTGGACTATAAGTCGCTCCGGAGTATAAGTCGTACCAGCCAAAAAATGTGTAATAATGAAGAAAAAAACATATATAAGTTGCACTTTTGGGGGGAAATTAGTTTATAAAATCAGAGACTAGGAACAGATATTTCATGCTGAAAGTCAAATTCTAGTAAAAACTAGAAAAGCACTCAGAGAGCGCAGACCTCCGCCAAGGACTACCCCCATTTTTTATATAAATTGCGATAAAATCATTCTTCTGGATCAGATCCGGATCAGCCTTTGGAATATGAAAGAGGATCCCATTGTCCATCCCTGAGTCAAATTTCATGGGGTTTGGTCGATAATTAACCGAGATTAACCAAAATTTTTGGCCCCATTTACCACAATGTTAACAAAAATTTCAAAGTGATCTAGAATCCAGGATTTCTTCCGGATCACCCCCAAAATGAAATCAGTTCTTCCTTTTCACATTTCCAACAAATCCTGAAAATTTCATCAAAATCGGTCCATAACTTTTTGAGTTATGTTACAGACAGACATACAAACAAACAAACAAACAAACAAACAAACAAACAAACAGACAAACGCCGGCAAAAACATAACCTCCTTGGCAGAGGTAACAATAGAAGAGAGAACAACAAACTGTTAACATCACATATGAACAGTTCTTCAGATAAACTATAACATAAACAACAGAACAAGTTTACCAAACTCTCCATCTCACTCCAAATCACTAAATCCATTCAATTCTTCATCCTCGGTGTCACTTCTGAGCAACTCCTCGACCTCCAGAGGTAAACAGAGCGGCGCTTCCTCTTCTGTGTCGCTGTCGTCAGACTCAGCATCAGTTCCAGTGAGAATTATTCCGGCCTTTCTGAATCCCGACAGGATGGTTTCGGTGTCACTGAAGTCCAGGCTTTGTCCATCCATCCAGTGAGTTCAGGAAAGTTTCATGGTGCCTCCTCCCGGTCGCCGTGAAGCTGTGTTCTCCATCCCCGCTTTCCACCAGTCCCTCAAAAGTTTCTCACTCACTCCAAACTTTCTTTCTGCTGCTCGATTACTGTTTTTGATTGAATATTTCGCTACTTGCAGCAGGACAGAGGCTCTTTCTCCAAGAGACATGCGCAGTAGAGTGAAGTGACAGTGGTACAGGAAGAACAGGAGCAGCAGATACTGACACACAAGACTAGAACCTCTCACGGCTTCAGTGTCAAAATTTTAAGTCGCAGGAAACACCCAAGCCATGAAAAACGTGCTACTTATAGTTCGAAAAATACCGTACAACAAATATGTGTATGGAAGATAATTTTTTTCATGAGATTCTGAATTTCTCACTTTGAGTCTTTAAACATGTTTAAATTGTTTTTATTCTGAATTTCAATTGCTGAAATTTTTAAGTAAACATTTTCATGATATAAAATTTATCATTCAAATATTCAGCATAAATATTTACAGACTGAAAAGAATTCAATCATGATTTTTCAGTCTAGATACAACGAAATCTAGGCCATTTAAACAAAGGCCTTTAACTATACACAAAGGCCACTGAGGAGCGCAACGGAAATATTACTGAAAAAACTTTAATTTCCTTCAGGATCTATAAAGTATTTCTCTTTCTCTTCCCCTAACCCGCAAGATTTGACCTCAAAGACATTTTGTTCCTGTACATTCATAATAGTTTCTCACATTTTAGTTAGTTAGTCTAGTCTTTATTTTATTTGAAGGGATAATGTACAGAGACATTAAGGTCATAAAAACACCACCAGATTAGAGCTAAACAGCTGGTGTCCATCTGCTGTCCCTGATTTACACAAATAGATTAAACAGCACAGTTACACTTTTAAGGATTTGATTAGAATCTAAAATATATAAAAGTTGAGATTGATCAGTTTTCTTCTTTGCTACCTGATCTCAAACGTTTTGCTTCATATATTTGATGTCTTCTGTACGATCGAAACTGTAGAAAGTAGAAAACAAAGAATAAAAATGGGGAAAAAAGTAAAAGTGTAGGTGTGTCCAAACCTTTGATTGGTCTTTTACATCTTTTACACACCGGATTAGTAGCCTGATTCATCAGTCGGTTTCACTTCGTAGAAACGTTTGACCTCACAGTGCTAGAATTCATTTGCTCGACGGTAGGCGGGTACTTTTTTTATTTAACCAATCGCCGCTATTTGGTCGTGACGTATGTAATGCGACACTAACAAGTCTAACTGGTATATTAAGCTTTTCCCAAATCCCGTAGGAAGAAGGACAATAACGTCTTTCCTCTTGATGAAATTCACCAAACATTCTCTTTGTTCCGGCTTTAAATCCTCGATCTCGGGAATCGTTGCCAACACAGAATATATCGGTGATTGGCTGGTGCCCGAACTCACACTTTCGGGGGTTTTTGCGAACCGTCTAATGTATTCTGATTCCTGAACTAGTCGCTGGAGAGAAATGAAATTGAGCAGAGGCACTATGTAGCCTGGCTACCGGATTATAAGGCGCAATATCAATAATGTTGAATTCTCTCATCTATTTTCATACATAAGGCACCTTAAATGAAACAAACGGACGACACTTGAGACTGATCCCTTAGCTCAGGCGTCTACGATCCATCAGCAGATTGTGGCGTAATTCGCCCGGCGTTACCTCCCTGTCTTGGTGAATGTGGATTATGAATGTGAATGTGAGTGGATCATTTAAGTTTGTTTTTTTATTTCCTACGAGACGACTCAAATATACATTGAGTAATAATGTGTTTAATGCAGCTTTGCTCACATTTGTTTACGTTTTACAGAAACTAAACTTGAAACCACATGGCTCATTTGCATAAACTATAAGCCCTGAAAAAACAGCTCGCTCCTTGTGCGCTGATGCGGTTCAGCTTCTGTCGCACTAAAGGACACGACACTCCGAGAGGCTCCTAACAATCCATCAAGCGGTGCGGCTTCGTAGATTACCAAAATCCTACTAAAACATTTTGACAGATTTTTAAGTGCCGAGTGCTACATAAAATCAGTTCGTGGTCAGTGAACACAACCAAAATTATTACATAAGGTGTAACAGATTTTAAGTGCGCCTTAGAGTCCAAAAAATACGGTAATAATCATTTTATATTGCTTGCCTGGGGTGCCAGTACCAATGCTGTTCAAATATAAAGGCGTAAATGATTTGGTTTTTCTTAGGGACCTTTGAAGAAGAACGTCTCCCCTCGGATCTTGGCCACAGCGTCAAAGGTGGTGTTGCAGCGGTCGACGGCAGCCCTGTGGTGGAGGTGTGGGTGGGGGTGTGGGTGGGGCCTGTGTCTGAGCTGCAAATCTGAGTCCAGGCGAGGGGCGTCCGTGGTTTTCAGCTGCTCTCTCTTCCCTGCAACACAAAAGGCCATTCAAATGACATGGACTCAATTTAGACTTAAAGAGGGGCTATGATTAGGTTTTTTTGCCCTTGGCGGAGTTCCAACATGCACCGGGAACAGGTCTGACTTACTGCCGGCAATGATACATACAGCTCCTGCTCCGGTCATACAGGGACCGGACAGCCCTTAGCAAAGGGCCCCGGACCCCATACTCCCAGAGCACCCCCCAACAGGACACCACGAGGGACACGGTCGAATGCCTTCTCCAGATCCACAAAACACATGTGGACTGGTTGGGCAAACTCCCATGAACCCTCGAGCACCGATGGAGAGTGTAGAGCTGGTCCATATATATATATATATATACATACATACACACATATACATAAAGTAAGGATTATTTGTTTTTCGTTTATGGTCTTACAAACTAATAATGTTAACGAAGGCGTAAAAGTTTATCGTTTATGATTGTGCAAATAAAACTAAAAAAATAAATTAATTAATTAAATTAAATAAATAAATTCTCATTGTAAAGTAAGGACATTTTGTTTTCGTTTATAGTCGTACAAACTAATAATAACGTTAATGAAGGCGATAAAGAATGTAAGGATTATGGTCGTGTATTTTTTGGTTTTGTTTTTTTATACTCCCACATCACTAACCCTTTTGATTTGTGAGAGGGATGCGGGAGTGGGCTGAGGCAGAGCAGCCTCACACTCACTTTGTCTTCTTCCTCACTTCTCCGACACTCTTCCCTTCTCCTCCTCAGCCGACAGACGTAAAGTGTGATGAGAGAATTCAATCATCAAAACGATCGTGGAAAAACTTTGGATCGTGTTTGTGCCCGTGGCGTAACGACAAACCGAGATGACAGAAAAGCCGGCAGCAGCTGAAGTGTGTGTTTTCTTCCAGGCGGCGTAAATACGTTTGTCATTTCGACGCTGAAATAACGCTAAAACGACGTTAAAATAAAGGTGATTTAACGTGTTTTCCATGTAAATCTCAATTCGGAATTAATTATTTTCATGTAAGATCCAAGGAGGATATTTTAATTTCAAACTATTTAATACAGAACGATTGATTTGGAATTAAAAAAACAGAATGTAAACGTGGGCACGCTTTACGTCTGTCGGCTGAGGAGGAGAAGGGAAGAGCGTCGGAGAAGAGAGGAAGAAGACAAACTGAAAACTGAGTGTGAGGCTGCTCTGCCTCAGCCCACTCCCACATCCCGCTCACAAATCCAAAGAGACGTGGAGGAAAGTCCGAAGCCAGGACTGGTGGATCGCATCAGAAGGACGACCCAACGAGCATGAACTGAAGAATTATTTTTAAGAAGAAAAATGTTCACATGATCCAGGAATAAATGAATTCGGCTTTAAAATCAGAACAAACCACCCACTTACTTCGGAATGAAACTTAATTCCTAATAATTTTCATTAGGAATTAAGTGTTTACATGGTCTTTTTATTCAGAATTAAATTATTTTTATTCGGAATTAAACCTCTCGTGGCAAATCTGACCATAAAGAACTGACTTAGTTGGAAGATGTGATGATTTGTACAGTTAAACAAGTCTCTCTCTCATAAATTTACAGTCTTAAAATATCTAGAATTAGCTGCTCTAGTCCCATTTTGTGCCAAGTTGCCACCTTCAGTTTTCCCCTTAATTCCCAGTTCGATAAACCCTTGGTGGTGGTTGGTCCCTACCGTAGAGCTGCGTGATGCTCTCCAGGTCTCGGGGCCCCAGGCTGTAGTGCAGGGGGTCCCCGGCCGGCCCCTGGTAGTAGGGCCTCATGAGCGAGTGTCGAGAGGAGGAGTGCGAGAGTCCCAGGGCGTGTCCCAGCTCGTGCAACAGAACGGTGAACAGGTCCGTGCCCTCCGCCGCTGCAGAGACGACAGTGCGCTACAAGCAGTGTTGGGGAGTAACGGATTACATGTACCGGAGTAATCAGAGTACAAATGATGAGTAACTGTATTCAGTTACAGTTACTGTTTCAGTGAGTGGTGATTGGATTACAGTTACTTTGTTGAAATAAGTGGATTACACGGCGGGATTTTCCTGTTTTGACATTTTGGGCAAAATCTCCCCCTCTTTTTTTTTTCTGTAATTCCACTCATTGCTGGACACTAAACCAGGACTAAACCAGGACTAAACCAGGACTAAACCAGGACTAAACCAGTAAACCAGGACTAAACCAGGTAAACCAGGACTAAACCAGGTCTAAACCAGGTAAACCAGGTAAACCAGGTCTAAACCAGGACTAAACCAGGTCTAAACCAGGACTAAACTAAACCAGGACTAAACCAGGTAAACCAGGTCTAAACCAGGTCTAAACCAGGACTAAACCAGGTCTAAACCAGGTCTAAACCAGGTCTAAACCAGGTCTAAACCAGGACTAAACCAGGTCTAAACCAGGAAACCAGGACTAAACCAGGTCTAAACCAGGACTAAACCAGGTCTAAACCAGGTCTAAACCAGGACCAGGTCTAAACCAGGTCTAAACCAGGACTAAACCAGTAAACCAGGACTAAACCAGGTCTAAACCAGGAAACCAGGACTCTAAACCAGGTAAACCAGGTCTAAACCAGGTCTAAACCAGGTAAACCAGGAGGACTCTAAACCAGGTCTAAACCAGGTCTAAACCAGGACTCTAAACTAAAACCAGGTCTAAACCAGGTCTAAACCAGGTCTAAACCAGGTCTAAAACCAGGTCTAAACCAGGTCTAAACCAGGTCTAAACCAGGTCTAAACCAGGTCTAAACCAGGTCTAAACCAGGTCTAAACTAAACCAGGTCTAAACCAGGTCTAAACTAAAACCAGGTCTAAACCAGGTCTAAACCAGGTCTAAACCAGGTCTAAACCAGGTCTAAACCAGGTCTAAACCAGGACTCTAAACCACTAAACAGGTCTAAACCAGGTCTAAACAGGTCTAAACCAGGTCTAAACCAGGTCTAAACCAGGTCTAAACAGGAAAACCAGGTCTAAACTAAACCAGGTCTAAACCAGGTCTAAACCAGGTCTAAACCAGGTCTTTAAACTAAACCAGGTCTTAAAACAGGACTAAAACAGGTCTAAACTCTAAACCAGGTCTAAAACAGGATTAAAACTAAACAGGTCTAAACCAGGTCTAAAGGATTTAACAGGACTAAACTCTAAACAGGTCTAAACCAGGTCTAAAACAGGATCTAAACCAGGTCTAAACCAGGTCTAAAACTCTCAGGATTTAACAGGTTTAAACTCACTTTAAGGACTAATTTAATGGATTCCGTTAAAACAGGACAAACTAAACAGGATTTTGGGGTGTGTAATCTGTAATCTGTAGGGGATTACATTTTTCACCTTCCCAACACATACATACATGAGACCTTGGAAGTGCCGCGATGTCGGGCAAACGTAACCCCGGGGGAATGCTTTTCTGTGCCAAAATATCTGTGGAAATGTCTCGCGTATTCACCACCAGCTTCATAAATCTGCCCCATCACTAAATCTTCAACCAACACGGTCCACAAAGAACATATTCTGACCATGAACAATTTATCCACAACTATCAAGGTAAGAAAGACGAAAATTTAAAGGCGAATTACGACGACGCATTAGTGAACTACTGAGCAAAACTAACATTATGATCATGAATAAAATATAAGTAATAAGTAATTCATTAGTAAGTAACTCGTTAACTCACACGGATTCTAGAATTAAAATAAAAATCGAGTCGTTTGTGCAGTTCGAATGCTACAGATATTCACAGATTACATGTCAAACACTTAAAGGTTGCATAGAGGATTTTCCAAGGAACGAGAATCCAGCGACTGTTTGTCCTTTTTCAAATGTTGCGCATGTGTGAAACCACCCCCCTCCCCTACAGCTCCTACGTAGAAACACCTCCTCCCTCCTCCTCCTTACGCCAGAAACAGGTTTGTTTACAGCCGGTGCTGCACATGACTTGTAAACAACTAACTACAGTGTTGGTTAAGCAAGACGGAGAAGTGAGGAGCGGGGGGAGGGGGTGTGCGGACATTTCATGCGCGGAGAAGAAGTGAGGAGCAGGGAGCGAGGAGAGGAGCAGTAAGGGGTGCACGGAGATTCAGTGCGAATGAAGCTACTACTACAACACGCAGCAGCAAGCGGACTCTTTCTTTGCCTTGAAAATTACGTTTTCAGACATAGGATATCGCATTCGTGTCCTGAAAAACGTTTGTCTAACTCTTGGAAATAAAGTACGTTTTCATAATAAGCAGAAGTTTCCTGTCCAGGAGTAATTTGTGGACCAGTGCGTCAGTCTTTAGACCCTGCGTCTGCTTCAGTCGCACCATCGCTGGAATGAATCTACAAGAATCACCTTAGTTTGGCTTCGCTGCTTTTCCCCTTGTCTTCTTCTTTCAGCGACCTCAAAAACGGACTTTCTTTTGTGGCGAACTGCTCCTGGATTCTTGTCGCCATTGCAACAAACTTTGTGTGAACTGCGAGGAAGATATAGGTCAAAAAAGCCGCTAAGAACTGTTGCGTTGGTGGAGTAAACAGCGTCTGTGCGTCTTGCGTCTGTGGACTGTGTGACAGTCGTACGTAAACCACGTACCGGCAGCGCAGGCAAGTCAGTTACACTAGAAACGTAGGGAGTTTGATTGACAGCCTGTCAGCTCACAGATAACGAGGCAGTGTCGTTATCTATTGGCAAATGTTTAGCCCCACCACGTCCAGAGTTGATGAATTTTTATTATCTTTTTTTTTGGTCATCATAATTACAAGGCGACTGCATCTCTATAATCTATCATTGACAATTTGAAACAAAAAAAATCCTCCATACAACCTTTAAACTGCACAAATCTCTCTGTCCATGCCAATGTCTACATCATGAAATCGATGTTTAATTTTAATTGTAGAATCAGTCTAAGTTACTTCTGTTTTATTCATGACCATAATGTTAGTTTGGTCATTAGTTCCTTTAAGCTTTCATCTTTCTTACCTTGATAGTTGTGGATAAATTCTACATGAAAGAATGTTTATCCTTTGTGGACCTTGCTGGACATCGTATAACGGCGACTAAAAACTGTAAATTATAGTCATGCTGGCTAAAGGAATTTGAGTGCCATATTTTCCCAGTTTTGCTGAGCAAGATTTTTAAGGAATTAATGTTTTTACATAATAAGTATCATCATTATTATTACTATTACTAATCTGCCCCAAACTGCCGCCTGGTCTCAAATAAATGCCTGGTCTGTTAAGTGATTGAAACAAATAAACAGCCCGGCTTTTATTTGGTATTTTAGGGTATTGTAACACCAGAGAGCTGTGCTGGGCTCACCTGTCCGTCTGAAAGTCCACTCCTCCTGTGCGTCCAGGTGCACGCCTCCTGCCCGCAGAGGGTCTGACGGGAAAAACGCGTGGCCCACAGCCCCGCCCACGCCATCGAACGGGTAGTCGTCTCCATGGTAACCGTGGTGGAAGTCCACCTGAAGGTCTGTGTCTCCGGGACTGCCCACCTGACAGGACAGGAGGGAAGATTACAAAAGTGAAAAGTGGGAATATGATCTGCGTATAAACTATAATGAAGAAGAATGGACTGAAATCTGCAAAAAATATTTCCTAAATGTAAATCTATATCAATACATGAACAAAATTATAAATTATTTCATAGATTTTATTATACCCCAGTGCGTCTTCAGAAAATGTTCCCTGACAGCTCTGATCTTTGTTATAAATGTCAAAAATATAAAGGCACTTCAGTACATTTATTCTGGGAATGTGAATATATTCAACAGTTTTGGAGAGATGTACACGCTGTTACCCAACAGATTACGGGAAAAACTTTTGTCATGTCACCATCATTGTATCTGTTAAATCTTTGTCCTGACAGACTTTTTGATAATGTTACCCAGTCTATGTTAATGATTATGACGTCTTTGGCAAGAAAATGTGTTCTTCTGAAGTGGGCAACCTCACATTTACCTCCACTGGACTTCTGGTTCACTCAGTTATCATCAACCATTCCCCTGGAAAAATTGACTTATGAACGAAATGGCAAACAAGATATGTTCTGGAAAATATGGACACCTGTACACATATATTTAAATATGTAATTTTATTATTATTATTATTATTATTATTTAATTTTATTTATTTATATATTTTTGAATGTATTTGTTATGGGTGAGTGTTTGAGTGTGTGCGTTTATGTGTATGTATGTAAATGTATGTCATTTGTATATATTAATGTAATTATGGTACTTTATTTTTATTATTATTTTCTGGTCAATATTATTATCATTTTATTTTTATTTTATTATTATTATTATTATTATTTTTTTTATTTTTTTTTTTTTATGGGTGGGTGTGGGGAGGGTGTATTGGGGTTTGGGAATGGGGAGGAGGGGGTTTAAATGTGGCATTTGTACACTTGTATATTTTGTGGCATTTTTGTGTGGCTGTAAAACCATAATATAGAAAAAAAATCTAAAATTATATAAAATATATATGAAAAAAAAGAAAAAAAGAAAAGTGATCTTCTTTAAGACTTCTTTAAGTGACAAACTGTATATAGGGTTACTCTAAAAAAAAAAAAAAAGAAGAAAAAAAACCCTCCATGTTGTTTTTGATTGTTTAACGTAATGTAGATTTAATTTCAGAGTAGAATATGGGATAGTTAAGACGGCAGGTTAATGAAAATACATAACAATGCCTTTTTCCAACAGCTACTATTAGATAATGTTAAACTATTAAGCTCTATTCACACAGGATAAGTACAACCTGGGAACATCTGGTCATTTGCATATTACTGCCCAGAGTTGAACCCTGAGGGCCTTCAAAGTATTCAGTGAAGGAATTTTTGTACTACTAAAATATTTTTTCAATATTTTTTATTCAGTGAGTAATAAACATGACACTAGTAATAATTTCTAGGTCACTTTTAAAAACTTGGACTAGTATTTCTTGGGAAACAAAGGGTTAATATAATGGAATGGAAATGGACCAATCACAGTTTTTCTTCCAGTGGTATCTGGGTAAATCAGTGACTCCCCCTGCAAGCGGTGAACTAAACAAACACCTGCAGGGCCTTGGGTGGCTGGAACGAAGACCTGCGTGAAACCAAAGCCAGTGTCTGCGGGTGCAACATGCCCACCTCATGGAAGTCCAGGGGAGTCGGCTGAGCCCACACTCGCAGGGCGTAGTAGACCAGGGAGCGGACAGTGTCTCTGGGCAGAGTGGAGGAGGGCGGGTACGACTGCAGCCTGACAGGACAGCACAACATTCAATTTAACCACAGTTACTTAAATTAAATACTCTTATTTTACTGACTTCATTTTCTTTACAGGTCACTTTACTTCAAAACCATTTCCTCTTGCCCCTAAATGAAGCAAGCAGAACTGCCCCAGGACGGAGGTAAGTGCAGCCGTCACCCGATCGCGCTTTGCAGACACCCTGCTCCTCATGCTCGGGGTTCTCTCTCTTATTTCTTTCTCTCTTAAGTCCGCAGGTACCCGACCTGGTGCAGGACTCTGACCCCGACCTGGTGCAGGACTCTGACCCGAGCTGGTGCAGGACTCTGACCCCGACCTGGTGCAGGACTCTGACCCCGACCTGGTGCAGGACTCTGACCCCTGACCCCGACCTGGTGCAGGACTCTGACCCCTGACCCCAACCTGGTGCAGGACTCTGACCCGACCTGGTGCAGGACTCTGACCCCTGACCCCGACCTGGTGCAGGACTCTGACCCCAGACCTGGTGCAGGACTCTGACCCCGACCTGGTGCAGGACTCTGACCCCTGGTGACCCCGACCTGGTGCAGGACTCTGACCCCTGACCCCGACCTGGTGCAGGACTCTGACCCCTGACCCCGACCTGGTGCAGGACTCTGACCCGACCTGGTGCAGGACTCTGACCCCTGACCCCGACCTGGTGCAGGACTCTGACCCCAGACCTGGTGCAGGACTCTGACCCCGACCTGGTGCAGGACTCTGACCCGACCTGGTGCAGGACTCTGACCCCGACCTGGTGCAGGACTCTGACCCGACCTGGTGCAGGACTCTGACCCGACCTGGTGCAGGACTCTGACCCCGACCTGGTGCAGGATTTTGACCCCTGACCCCGACCTGGTGCAGGACTCTGACCCCGACCTGGTGCAGGACTCTGACCCCGACCTGGTGCAGGACTCTGACCCGAGCTGCCACAGTGAGAGCTGGAGAGATGCAGCGGCACTTGTTCCAAAGCCGAATGTTACTCCTCCCCCCAACACACACTGTATCTGCACGACAACCAAGGTACATGTGCATCTGTGCGACAAGCGCATCATCAGAGAGAGTTTTTAGTGCCACTGGAAATATTGTAACTCCAGGGGCAGACCCATGGCAACCGGACAGGTAAACCAGGCAATTGCCTCGGGCCTCCAGCTCTGTGGGGGCCCCCTGATAATGTGATTATGTGTTCAAATAACAGCAATGACCACTTTGTGATCGCGGCGGCGCCACCTTAAAGCGCCTCCTTAAAACCTATGACCGAAAAGTGCCGAAAAGTGCCGAGATCCTCCTCCTCAGCCCCCAGTACTTGGACAGCGGGCAGTGGCCCGCGGGCGACCAAGTCAAGTAAATGTTTGAGCAGCCATCAGTTCAAAATGAAGCGAAATTATACTCTCGGGGAGCCAGAAGAGAAAGAGGAAGATAAGAAAAAACAAGACACCGGTAAGTAAACTTGGCACGAACTGGCTACAAATTCTGACATCTGCCCAATACGTCGATCGCCAAGGTAGTGTGGGTACAGATCGCAGTGTCGTAGTCTCGGACTCAATCGCGTTTGGACTCGGTCTTGTCTCATATTCGAGGTCTGACCCTCATTGAGTGTGATAATATTACGGTCGCAGCGGGAGTGTGCGGGGCGTCTCACTGCAGCCTGCAGATACTGTGCAACATCACAAACACACGCTCCCTGTCCGTGCCAGGTTAAACTTTTTAAAACATCTTACCTGCCCATCTGCCTCACCCTCCTCACCCTTTCACACTTTTGCTCCTCCCCGCGTAAAGCGCACACAGGCTCTGTCCTCAGTGCGCTGATTAGAAGAGCAAGACGAAACGCGAGGCAAAAACTAATCCAAAGGTATGTTGCAGTGTTGGCACAGAGGATGGCTACAACACAGAGTAGACCTACTGCGACCTGCACAAATCTGTATTTGTCAGGATGTGCGTTTGGTTTGATAAATGTGCAGAGGCTGGTAAAAACCACTGCAAAGCCAGTAAAGAGAATGTAACTCCAGTTTAGGAACTCGAAAAAACAGGTTTAAAAATTACATGCATCCTTCTCTTTCTTCTCACTTTTCTGTAAAGTACCAGTAGAAGTTCTCTTAAAAAGGGGTCCTCAAACTGTGGGTGAGGGTCCTAAAAAGCGGCGCAGAGTGTTTCAGTGCAGAACAGTTTGCTTGGCTTTGTAGTCGGTCGATCATTTGGACTTGGTCATTTTATGCAGGGTTCTAGTTCATGTGTGAGTTTCAGCGAGGGTGGCATAGCTTTCATCGTAGTGTCTCGTACGTACTAGAGGCCACAAAGGAATGCAAAACAAGCAATTTTTTTAGAAACACTAGAATAGAGCTAGAGGTTCAGTCACAATCATTAATTTGATTGCCTTTTGAAGTTATGTGTACATGTGTCTACACTGTAAACATTTGGTATTGTCTTAATGTTATTTGGTAAGTGCCCAGAGGGTCTTCGCCGGTCAGGGCCCCAGGTTCCCCTTTGCCTAGGGCCCCAAATGAAATGGGCCTGTCCAGGGGATGGGGGTGGGGGAGGGGGTGAGGTATCACTGCATACCGCGGTGTTTAGCTGCACTGCAGGAGAAAGTCCCTATCCACAACAGCCCTAGCACCAGCCTATGTAATGGACTAGCTACAAGGGATGGGCATTCGGTGAAATTTTCTTAATTGATCGTCGGAAGAATTAACGATTGATTATCGATTAATCATTAAAGTTTTTTATATTAAAATGATCATCATTATTATCACTATCTCCACTACTAATCTGCATAAATAAATTCAACTTTACAACATATAAACCGTAACGACTCTAGAGCCACATCAGCCCGTTTGACATTATAATGTGTTTAATTCAGTTTTGTTCAAATCTCACAGAAACTAAACTTAAAACCGCATCACCAATTTGCATAAACTAAGTGAAGATAAAACTACAGCTCTTGTGTTGCTGATGTGGTTCAACTTCTGTCAGATTAAAAGACATGACTCAGGTGAATACAGGTTAGTGTGACCAGATTTGTGTTTGTCAAAACCAGGACAGCGTACGGGGGGAGGGAGGTGGGGACTCGACATCGACATTGAGCGACTCTCACCTGGTAAAACTTTTTCCCACTGGACACAGAAACATATGTGCTGCTTTGTTCACTGTGCACATGGACTCACACTTGTCCCAACGCAACGGAAAGTGTGGAATTTCTTGTCCAAATCATCATTAAATCCACATTTGTGCTTCGGTTCGTTACAGACTGACCCACTGTTTGTGTCTCGCTCCTTCTGATGCAGAGACACATGTACACACCTGTTTGGTCACGATACACACAGCAACATACATTCAGTTTGTCGATTAAAATTAACGTAATCGATGAAATTCTTAATGATCAATTATCGATTCATCGATTAATCATGCCCATCCCTACTAGCTACATTACATGGTCTCCTAGAGACATTTCACATTTGAAGTGCAGATATCTGTCTATCTATGCTAATATCGACATCATGAAATTGATTTTTTATTTTAATTGTAGAAAACTATTAACCAGAAGTTCTGCACACCTAAAATGGGGCACCTCTGGCCGTTGTGGAAAAAGGTCTATACGGGTTTTCAAATGACATTACATTACATGTAGTTTGTTACAAACATGCATGAATCCACTGAAATACAACTGTGACTGAGCAAATAATGAAGGAACACAGATAGAACATGTTTAAAAGCTCACAAGTCAACTTCACAGAATGTGTCCCCTTTAAACTCCCTCTGACCTCCAGTTGATGTTCCTCCTGCTCCACGTGGACGCCGCTCTCCTCCTCCTCCTCTTCCTCCTCAGGTTCTGCTCGTGGTTTGGTGGACCTCCAGAGGTCTGCTCCTGGTCGGGTAAGGAGCAGCGTGGAGTCTTCATCAGTGCCAGTGTCTCCTCGTCTACATCATTGCACACACAGAAAAACGAGAATACGTCTTTGTACCACTTATGTCTAATTAAAGCAAAGATAATGTTGTCTTTTTTAATGTTTGACCCACAAAGGAACCGTTTGGGGAAAGGACATTTTGTTGTTTGTGGAGCAGATTAACTTCAAAATTTGCTGGAATCACAAAAATATGTCCCTATTTACCAGGGACAGTCCCAGTTTTGTCTTTGTGTCCCCTGTCCCAGCAGATTTATCCAAAACCACTGATTTGTCCCAGTTTTATACAAGACATGTCCCAGGTAGGGTTTAATCCCGGGACCTAGGATTCCCGGGAAATCTGATCAAAACTATTTCTCGATTCCGGGAAAGGTTATGACGGGAAACCGGGAAAATAGCCGAATAAATCAACTCAATTGTCGCATCTATTTGTTATTTTACAGTAACGCTGATGGAGGCGATGGTGCCGCCGTAACTATGGAAATAATTGCAAATGCAAATTAGCCATTTGGTTTTAAGTTTCATTCCTGTAACACATAAACAAATGTGCGCTCCTGTACCACCATCACTTGGCGCTCTACTTATGGCTCTACTGCGCATGTCTCCTGCAGAAAGAGCCGCTGTCCTGTCTGGGATGTCAGTTGCACCATTAATTCTGTCTTTATTTTATTTTATTTTATTTCATAGCATTTTACTTTATTTTATTTTATTACATTTTATAGCATTTTATTTTAGCATTTTATTTTTTATTTTGTTTTATTTTATAGCATTTTATTTTATTGCATTTTATTTTATAGCATTTTATTGCATTTTATTTAAGCATTTTATTTTTATTTTATAGCATTTTATAGCATTTTATTTTAACTTATAGCATTTTATTTTATAGCATTTTATAGCATTTTATTTTATAGCATTTTGGTTTTTAATTTGGTCTCGGCTTAATTTCTGAATATTTTGCCTAGTTTATTCAGTAAATTTCAGCTCTCTATTTGCTTAAACTAACTCTAATATTACTTATTTTATCTTGGGTTTTGATGTGTTTTATTTTTCTCTCTGATTTGAGAACAATACAGTTACTTGGGTCATGTTGAATGTCTGAACGTCAGTGGTTTTGTCTGGCTGAACAGAGAGTTTAATGACTGAATCCCTGTGTTCCTCTCACCCAGGACTCCGGTGTCGTTGAGCCCAGCGAACCTCTGCATGGAGCGGACAGCGCTGGTCACCGCCGTCCAGGCCTGGAGTTGCCCGGTGGAGGTGTCAGGCGGAGGCAGGTACCCATACTTCAGCAGCCAGTCCTGAGAAGTGCGTAGAGGTTAGTTAAGTTTCACATCAGGACATAACTCAAACTAAACCTGGAATGCCGTAGAAGAATTACTGAGTTATTTGAAGCATTTGTATCTCTTAGACTATGTTCAGACTGCAGGGCTTAACACTCAATTCCGATTTTTTTTGGGAAATCCGATGTTTTTGCGAGGTCGTTCACATTTCCAATTAAATGCGACTTGTCTGTGACTTCAGTGTGAACGGTAAACGGCCCGAAAGTGTCCCGCATGTGCACTGGAGACACGACGATGTCAACCTCATGCGTCAACCGCAGCGAGCGTGCTCTGTGTTTACAGAAGTTGTCCAAACATGGTCGCGAGCATTGAGCACCTGGCGATTTTACAGTTCCGGTTTCCGCCTGCTTCAGCGCAGAATAGTGACGTTTGTCGCTTGTTAATGACGTGTAGGTCGGATGGATGCGCTTTGGCCGTTCAGACTGAAGTCGCATGTCAAAAGATCGGATATGTATCGCATTCAGGACCACATATCCAAGTGTCCTGGGTCGCATTTGAAAAATTCGGATCATTAAAAGATCAGATACAGGAACATAGGGGCCAAAAAATCGGATTTGGGTCACTTCAGGCTGCAGTGTGAACGCAGCCTTGGATACAGGTGTTTTATGGGTAGTAGTGCAGTGGTAGTTTTGTTTTTTATTTGCAAAAGCTGTGTATAAGTTCAGTTTTGATCCGCAGTAAAGGAATATTCAAATCTGTCAACTGGAGAAAAGTTTTAGACGGCACATCACATCAGGTTTGTGAAGTTGTAGTGTTTTGTTTTGTATCATGCTTTTGTGTATTTATGGGAAATTCTTGTGTGGGAGCGTGGACGACGTAGACTCGATGACTGAATCTTGTACAGGTTCATACAGCTAACAGGAAGGAGGCTTTAAATTTCTTCTTTCTTTTTTTTTTTTATTTGTAAAGGACCAGCACATATTAATGAACATTAAAAATGTAAACATGTAAAGATTTTAGCCAACGTGGCTCATTTCCATCTTCAGTCCCTCAGCAGGTTAATGTAAAATCATCTACAGGACAAAGAAAAGTACAGCAACAATCACACAAAAGTACACAACACCAGCACACAGGAAGCGCACATGAGAAAGCTGGAGTCGTAACCAAACGCGGAACAAAAAGAATGTTTCCAAAGAGGCAAAGACCAAAATTTTACAAGATTACACAAATATTTTGATTGCAAATGTATTTAATTTTATGTATTAAGTGTTATTATTATTTTTAATTTGGTGTTTTGATTTATACTTTTTGTTTTCTTTGAACTACACTACCATTCAAAAGTTTGGGATCACTTAAAAAATTCCTTATTTTTGAAAGAAAAGCGCAGTTTTTTTCAATGAACATCACTTTAAACTAATCAGAAATACACTGTATATTTTGCTAATGTGGTAAATGACTATTCTAGCTGTTTTTTGGTGCAATATCTACACAGGTGTACAGAGGCCCATTTCCAAAATCACTCCAGTGTTTTAATGGTACAATGTGTTTGCTCATTGCGTCAGAAGGCTAATGGATGATTAGAAAACCCTTGTGCATCATGTTAGGACAGCTGAAAACAGTTTGGCTGGTTAAAAAAAGCTATAAAACTGACCTTTCTTTGAGCAGGTTGAGTATCTGGAGCATCACTGTGACGGAGCAGGCTCGTCCCTAAGAACGTCGTCCCTGGGGAGAGCACGTGAAGACGCGCGCATCCGTTTCCGTATTCATTGCGCACCGCTCGCCGTACCATTTCGTACCAAAATCACTGTTTTACAATAAAATTTTCCCAACACCTCCTGCGTGTCTTGCCGCGACTAAGGGTGCACACTTAGAAGAGCTTGCTCAATTCATCTAAAACACGCTAAACCAGACATTTACTTACCCTCGCGCCGCCGCCTTCGCCCTCCTACCGTGGTGTGTTCTGGCAAACCCGGACACATCCGCGCTTGAAGCTTAAAGGTTGTATAGAGGATTTTTTAAGGGAAGAGAAATACAGCGACCGTCCTTTTTCAAATGTTGTGCATGTGTGACACCACCTTCCTCCTCCACAGCTCCCTCAGTAGAAACATCTCCTCCTCCCGCCTTTTTACTCCGAGAAATCGCATCCAGTGCGCGTTCAGAATTACTGTTGAAGTGACCTGTCTAGAAGTAATTTAGCAACCGATGCATAAGTTTTTAGACCCTTCGTCTGCTTCAGTCGCGCCATCGCTGGAAGAAATCTCCAAGAATCACCTCAGTTTGGCTTTGCTCCTTTTCCTCTTCTCTTCTTTTTTCAGCGACCTCAAAAACGGACCTCTAAGAACCGCTGCATAAACCACGTAATCCCCGCGCGCCAGCGAGTCAGTTACACTAGGGAGTTTGATTGACAGCCTAACAGCCAATAGAAAATGAGGTAGACTCGTTTTCTATTGGCTGATGTTCATCTGGCCTCACTACGTCCACAGTTGATAGATTTTCATTCTTTTTTTTTTTTTTTTTTGGTCATCATAATTACAAGGCTGCTGCGTCTGTGTAACGGTATTTTAAACTTTCACTGACAAAAACAAACAAAAAAAAATCCTCCATACAACTTTTAAATCCTGTTGTTGAGCGGGTTCAGGGGATCAGGTGAGCAACGATTCATTTGCATGGCCAATTAAATGTATTGTCTGTCTCTCAGACATCATATACAAAACCTCTTCATTCAAGCTTTTACACGTATATAACAATCGAGCTAAGGAACGTAGGCCGTTTAATCGTAGAAACGGCGCAATCACGATTATTGGGGGGAATTCTGTAATGTGGGAGGGGCAAATGGGAATATAAAGGTGCACTCTCCAGCTCCACAGAGAGAGAGAGAGAGAGAGAGAGAGAGAGAGAGAGAGAGAGAGAGAGAGAGAGAGAGAGAGAGGGAGAGAGAGGGGAGAGGAGAGAGAGAAGCCTGAGAGAGAGAGACCCCCACCACAATCACATTTGTGGGGTCGATTAAAACTTTCAAAATGGCCAGAAAAAGAACTTTCATGTGAAACTCCACAGTCTATTCTTGTTCTTAGAAATGAAGGCTATTCCATGCCAGAAATTACCAAGAAACTGAAGATTTCCTACAACAGTGTGTACAACTCCCTTCTGAGAAAAGCACAGAGGCTCTAACCAGAGACTCATGGTGGTAAATAAAAGTGTGACTTTTCATGGAAAACACAAAATTGTCTGGATGACCCCAAACTTTTGAACGGTAGTGTATCTGACTCTAAATTGATTCCAGACGTAACCAGGACTCAGGTGATGAGCGTCTGACGTGACTGTAAAGAGCGTTTGTGTATTAGTATTACCACTAGCTGGGTGCTGTGGTCCTCGGTGGGCGGGGCTTGTGGCGAGGCCGCCGGTGTTGCCGTGGTGACAGGTGCGGCAGAGGCGAGCCACGCTTCACCCAGGCACAGGAGCAGAACCCACATCCTCACACGGGGCCCATGTGGTTCGTCCTGGAGTCTTCGGTGTAGCCTGTGACAATACGGACTTAGACATTAGACGAAGTGGAGCGACTGGAGCTCAGTGTGTGACGTGTCCTTGGGCAAGACACCGCGCCTTTGCCTTCACAATATCCAATCCAATAAAAAGGTACAAAATATAAATAAAAGACACTGAGGTAGGGGTGGGCGATATATCGATATCGATATACCTTTTCCACCATTTACAGACAAAACCATCAGCAGCACATCCTCATATTCCACCGAGTCGTGTCCTTTAGCCCGAAAGAAGCTAAACGAGCTGAGCTGCGTGAGAAGTGCTGTTTATGCAAATGAGCCATGCGCTTAAGTTTCGTTTCTGTAAAATGTAAACACACGTGCGCAAAACTGCATTAAACACATTATTATCTCAAACGGGCTGATGTGGCTCTAGAGTCGTTATGCTTTTTATATTGTAAAGTTTAGTCATGTAAAGTTTATTTAAGCAGAATATTTTAATTAATAATCTGCTGCAGTGTCACTTGTACAACAGTGTTTGGAAACGTTGGGTTTGATCTGCAGTGGATTGTGGGATTAAACCTCAGAGCTCCTTACTGCTGGATAAAAACATGGATCTGTTAAAATAAGGAACATCCTGAGCTTCTTCTGCTAAACGAGCTCATGGTTCTGGTTCTGGTCTGGAGAACAGAGTTAATGCAAAGATGAGCTTGTGTTGAGTTGTTTTATTTATGAATGAAAAGAAGGAAATATGTTTTATTTCTTTTATTTTACAGTTAAATTATTATTTATGTAATTCGAGTTTTTTGTAATCTTAAATGTTCCTATATGAACTGCCGACCTCTTACACTTCAATTAAAAAAAAAACAACCTTGTGGAATTTGGCAGATTTGTTTTTGCAGTTTTCAGTTTTAGGGGGTTATTTTTTCTTGAACTTATATCGAGATATAGCAAAATATATCGAGATATATTTTTTGATCCATATCGCCCAGACCTACACTGAGGACCACACAACTCACGCGGTGTTAAAAAACTAAAGAGAATAAAAGTGGGTTTTGAGACGAGATTTAAAACTCTCCACTGTGGGGCTGTTGGGACGTGAGGGGGCAGAGGGTTCCAGAGTTCGGATCCGGTCACAGAAAAGGCCCCGTCCCTGCTGGTTTTAAGTCTCGTCATGGGCACCACGAGCTCGGACACAGGGGAGAAAATCTGGATGAGATCCGCGATGTAACGTGGGGCCAGTCCATTCAAAGCTTTAAAAAACAAACGATAAAAGCTTAAAATCAATTGTAAAACGAACTGGAAGCCTGTGTAATGAATGTGAATGTTTTGTGGAGAGTATTTATCACATTAAAAAAAGAAAGAAAATCAAATCTCTACGTCGCTGGGACCTGCTTCCTCTAACTGGACAAAAATCAGGTTACAAAGGTAAGAACTGAACAGCCAGAGGTTTAAAAATATATATAAAAGAGAATAAAACACAAGTCACTGGTTTAGTCTAGAACTAAACCAGGACTACACCAGGACTGAGTGTCAGGACAGGCCCAGAGGTTCATCCGTGTAGACTGTCGGGTGATTGGGACTGAGACCGGGACTGATCCCAGGGCTAAAACAGGACTACACCAGGTCTAAACCGGTTTCAGCCCTGTTCTCAGTCCCACTCTGGTCTCAGTCCTGGTCTGGTCCTAGTCTCAGTCCTGGTTTCAGTTCCAGTCTGGTCCTACTCTCAGTCCCGGTCTCAGGGCCTGTCCCAACACTTAGTCCTAGTTTAGTCCTGGTGTACTCCTGGTTCCTGGTGTAGTCCCGGTGTAGTTCCGGCATAGTCCCGGCGTAGTCCTGGTTCCTGGTGTAGTCCCGGCGTAGTCCCGGTGTAGTCCTGATTTAGTCCTGTTTTAGTCCTGGCGTAGCCCCGGCATAGTCCTGGTTCCCGGCATAGTCCCGGTTCCTGGTGTAGTCCTGGCGTAGTCCCGGCTTAGTCCTGGTTCCTGGTGTAGTCCCCGGTGTAGTCCCGGCGTAGTCCCGGCTTAGTCCCGGCTTAGTCCTGGTTTAGTCCTGGTTTAGTCCTGGTTTAGTCCTGGCGTAGTCCTGGCGTAGTCCTGGTGTAGTCCTGGCGTAGTCCTGGTTTAGTCCTGGTTTAGTCCTGGCGTAGTCCTGGTGTAGTCCTGGTGTAGTCCTGGTTTAGTCCTGGTGTAGTCCTGGCGTAGTCCTGGTTTAGTCCTGGCGTAGTCCTGGTGTAGTCCTGGTGTAGTCCTGGTTTAGTCCTGGTGTAGTCCTGGTTTAGTCCTGGTTTAGTCCCGGTGTAGTTCCAGTACACTCTGGCATCGCAGTTTAAGTCACGTAAATGAGAAACAATCTAAAACTGAAAAAACGAATCGTTATCCTTTTTTTTTGTTTTTTTTTCTTATTATAAGAAATAAGAAATGTACTGCGTGGGTGTTGTATTGGACCCGTGCAGGACTCTGCGCTGTTGGCTCCATTACGGAATAAATGAATCTTCAGTTCGTTACATAAAGAAGGAGGAAAATAACAAAAGGACGACAGCAGCAACAAGTTTTAAGAAGGAAGTAAAAAGGGTTGTAACTGTCCTGTGTGAGAAAAGTGTATAAAGATTGTTTTGAGGTTTTACAGCCTTAAAACAGATAGAATAATTGTAAAATATAAAGTTGATACTTTGCAGATTTCACCTATCGCGGGTTATTTTTAGAACATAACCCCAGCAATAAACGAGGGACACTGTCCTCTCACTTCAAAACCTGTGCACATGGACTCACACTTGTCCCGACCGGGATGGAAAACTGAGAATTTCTTGTCCAAGTCATTGTTAAATCCACATTTGTGCTTTGGTGTGTTTCAGACTGACCGACTGTTTGTGTCTCGCTCCTTCTGAGTCACAGACGCTCAGTTTAATTCCCCCAATGAACGGTACTGAAAACCCGGATATTTGCATCACTTTAAAAAAAAACAAAAAAACAGACGCCCAGGACAGGACGCAAAATACGGACATGTCCGGGGAAAAACGGGTGTTTGGTCACCCTACTCCGTCCATTTCGATGGGCCCAAACTTTGCCAAAGAGTGTAGTGAGTCAAGATGGTCAATGCTCTGAGCGTCTGTGTTTGTAACAGTTGAAAAAAGCCGCTCTAAGTGCACTTATTTCTCAAATAAATGGCAAAATTATGCATCTTGGTCTGCGTAATTGCGCATCCCTTGCTATTTTTTATTTCAAAGTTTTATTTCAGTCCAGTAAACCCCATGGAAATGCAGGAAGTGATGTGGCTCTGTGCCCTGGACCTGACACCAGCTGTTTCCACGACTGACACCAGGAAAGTCATGAGGCCATTGCACTTCTTTTGTTTTGAGGCAATGAGGTTATTTTTAGTTTATTTACAGACTTGATATTTGGCATTTTTATAGCTAAGGCCTTAAATTAAAGGGTGTATGGAGGATTTTATTTTAGTTTCAAATTGTCAGTGAAAGTTTCAAATCCCATTACAGAGACAGAGCAGCTTTGTAATTATGATGACCAAAAAAAAAAGAATGGAAATCTATCAACTGTGGACATGTTGAGGCCAGATAAACATCAGCCAATAGAAAACGAGGTTCCCTCATTTTCTATTGGCTGTTGGGTTGTCAATCAAACTCCCTTCGTTTCTAGTGTAACTGAGTCGCCGGCGTGCAGGGATTTCATGGTTTATGCAGCGGTTCTTAGAGGCTTTTACAAACTGTAGCTTCTTCGCAGTTTGCACTAAGTTTGTTGAGACGCGGACGAGAATCCACGACCAGTTCGCCGCAAAAGAAAGTCCGTTTTTGAGGTCGCTGAAAGAAAAAGAGAAGGGGAAAAGGAGCGAAGCCAAACTGAGGTGATTCTTGGAGATTCCTTCCAGCGATGGCGTGAATGAAGCAGACGAAGGGTCTAAAAACTGATGGATCGGTCGCTAAATTATTTCTCGACAGGTCACTTTAACAGTATTTCTGAACACACACTGGCTGTAAACAAGCTTGATTTCTAGAGTAAAGGGGCGGGAGGAGGTGTTTCTACTGAGGGAGCTGTGGAGGAGGAAGGTGGTGTCACGCATGAACAACATTTGAAAAAGGACTGTTGCTGTATTTCTTTTCCCTTTTAAAAAAATCCTCTATACAACCTTTAAGCATTTTTTATGTCCAAAAAGTTGTTTATACGTGTTTGCTGTGTGTTTTGTATGAAAGAGTGTGGATTTTATTTTTTTTCATTATTAAAAAGCCCTCTGCTCTTCCTCCTCCTCTCGTCCCGTCCTGTCTCTGTCTTAATGAAATGGACTCTCTGGGTGACGCACACGTCCCTCACATCGTCCACGTTGGCCGTTATGCAAATGAGCTCCATCTGCTGATGACTCGGGAGGCGGTCGGGTCCCTGGGGAGGACGCTTCTCTGACACACGGGACTGATCGCTCGCTCGTCTCACGGGCAGCGCAAAGTCATCAGCGCGAGTGGCAGCGGCGGGACAAAGCGGATTGTTATTGTTGTACGCTGAAATTCCACGGCGTGACATGTTCCCGGCAGAGCGTCAAAGCTGCACTGCGGAACTTTTCTGACAGTGGAGGGATCAGAAAAGCCGTGTTTTTTTTTTTTTAACCACGGAGATGTGATTTGCGTCGCCTGGATCCACAGCATGGCATTTTATTTATTTATTTACTGTATTTATGCATTTATATTTAAGCCTTCCAGACCTAATTTTAGCACATTTGTCCTCGCCTGGATTTTTTTTTCTAAATTTTACTTTTAAAACGACCCCCTTTAACCCCCCAATGAAGCGTTTCAGTTTCAGTACAACCTGTTATTTCACAATCTGCTGCTGTAGATGTGTCATGTGGCTGTAATAAAAGAAACTGGACCAGAAATACAAATTAAGAAAAAAAATCTATATATATCGACCCTCTTTCGTATAAAACACACAGCAAACAAATTTCTGGACTTAAAAAATGCTTAATTTAGGGCCTTAGCTACAAAAGTGCAAAATATCAAGTCTGTAAGTAAAC